GTGTCAATATTACACAATGAGATGCGAAGAAAATGAGGATGTTAATGTTATCGGGTGGGGAGAAAAAAACGAAGGCCCACGGGGGTTTAAATTTTTGGGATGCGATGCCATTAGGGAATCAATTTGGGACCATTTTAGTATTAAAAAAATAGTAGAAATCCTAAATATAATAATTAGCCAATGATAATCTTTCATAATGACAATTAAAGAATTAACTGATTCCTTTTAATCCTATGCTGATTCGTTGAAATTTTCTACGACGTCACTCTAGCCATGTGAGGTGACGGGAGCATCCCTACCATGAAAACCTTACCTTAAATCTACATCTATAACTATATATTAAAGTAAAATAAATATATCACTACTGATGTACAAAATAATTTTATATTCTTATCCTTTTCATAGTTATATATGCATGTATAAAGGTGAAAATGGAAATTTTATATAGTAAAATGGGATGAAATAAGTATATCAATTATCATAACTATTTCATTTCTATTATTTAGAGAGAGAGAAAATTCATTCTGACCCATCTTACATCCACTTTCAAAAACAAAAATTTATATACGTCGATGGAAAAGCGACGTTATAACGACAGTAGGTGGTTCATCTCTTCTAATTTGAATAGAAAATCATAGCCAATAATTATGATGAATTGCAGAAGAAGAAGAAGAAGAAGGAGAAGAAGGAGAAGGAGAAGAAGAGAAGAGAAGAAGAAGAAGAAGAAAGAAGAAGAAGAAGAAAAGAAAAGAGAAGAAGAAAGAAGAAGAAGAAGAAGAAGAAGAAGAAGAAGAAGAAGAAGAAGAGAAGAAGAGAAGGAAGAAGAAGAAGAAGAAGAAGGAAAGAAGAAGGAAAGAAGGAGAAGAAAGGAAGAAGAGAGAAGAAGAAGAAGAAGAAAAGAAAAGAAGAAGAAGAAGGAAGGAGAAGAGAAGAAGAAGGAGAAGTAGGAGAAGGAAGAGAAGAAGAAGAAGAGAAGAAAAGAGAAAAGAAGAGAAGAAGAAGAAAGAAGAAAGAAGAAGAAGAAAAGAAGAAGAAAAGAAGAAGAAGAAGAAGAAGAGAAGAAGAAGAAGAAGGAGAAGAAGAAGAAGAAAAGAAGAAGAAGAAGAGAAGAAGAAGAAGGAGAAGGAGAAAAGAAGAGAAGAAGAGAGAAGAAGAAGGAGAAGAAGAGAAGAAGAAGGGAGAAGAGAGAAAGAAGAGAAGAGAAGGAGGAAGAAGGAGAAGAAGGGAGAAAAAGGAGAAGAAGGAGAAGAAGAAGAAGAAGAAGAAGAGAAGAGAAGAGAGAGAAGGAGAAGAAAGGAGAAGAAGAAGGAGAAGAAGAGAAGAAGAAGGAGAAGAAAGAAGAAGAAGAAGGAGAAGAAGAAGGAGAAGAAGAAGGAGAAGAAGAAGAACAAGAAGAAGAAGAAGAAGAAGAAGAAGAAGAAGAGAAGAAGTATGGTGTGTAACTGTAAATAATGCAATAAAGATAAATATGTCATCTCAAATTTACTTATCATACTATATTTATGTTTTTTTATTAATCTAGGATAAGTACAAGACAGTATTTGTTCAAAGATAACTCTCAATCATCTGACATTAAACGATTACACCCCTGATATTCTTGGTGCTCGAACTCGGGGCAATTTTAATTAAGGCCCAATTGTTTGGGTAATTTTAGGATAGGGCTTTATAATCCTTTTCCACTGTCGCCATACTTGTACAAATATATATATATATATATATATATTGAGAAAAACCCGCTAGTTTTATTCAAAATATAAAATATTCATAATTACTATGAAGATTTACAAATATAACTTATAAACAAAATTATAATTAGAATATTTTCCTATAACCATTGACACAAAAACTAGCCACCTAGATCATATAAAGACCAAATAAGGAAATGGTTAAAAAACCTGACCAAAAAGCTCGAACAAAATAAAGATACAAACAAATCTGGTTGCATCGGCAAACGAACCAAAAAATGGGATAAAGCTACTGAACGCCATCGACAAATCGCAAATAAGAGTCAAACAACGTTAAAAAACTATCCACGAATGCAAAACGCGTATCCAAATCATTCTGAGGGTCCAAAGCAGGGAAGATTATCATAATAACAAATAAACGTCATCTTGATCAGTTATGGCGATGTCAAATCAAACCTTGAGAAAAAAAAATAAACAAAAACAACGGCAAAAAATCGTAAGCTACCAAAAGACAGAGAAAAACGTGCCACAAAGACAGAGATAAACGTGCCACAAAGACAGAGATAAACATATCATAAAAGCAGAGAAACATGTCACAAAGACATAATTATTCTTATTAAAAAACTAGAGAAAAAAAGAAAAAGAAAAAAGATAACCGACGGACGGCAACCAATATCAAAATCGGTGCCGCCGTCGATTAAACAAAATTAAAAAAAGAAAAAAATTGAATTATCAGTAAAATTGACAAAAATTGTGAAAAAAGAAGAGAAAAGAGGAGAAAGAAAACGACTAAAGTTTTAATATAATATTGCTATAAACTTAAACATCTGATAATGGTGGAAAATGGGAAAAGATGAGTGTCATTTTCATTCAAATACGAATATATATTTTTATATTCGTATAAAAATTTACATTTATTATTTTGCATATTAAATGCATGACCGTATAGTAAAAGAAAAAACTATTCTTCTTAGAAGTTTTATATTCAAGCAGTTATATTGTACGATGTATGTTTGTTGTTAATAAATTTAAAAATATTAAATATATATTATCTTATAATCACCTCGTATTATTAAAAAATTAAAAAAAATATTTTAAAAGGAGATGGAGAAGAACACATATAAATTCGTAAATCAATCATATACTTATCGAAATGGTATGAGGGTAATACATATACCTCAATCGAAGTACAACTAATAACTATATATTTTCTTAGATCATAAGTTCTATCGGGTAGATTACGTAGAGGTCGAGACACTTTCGTATCGTTGTTAGAATTGGCATAACTCTGTAATTTTGGATCTCCAGAATATCTCCTCAGCTTAATTTTTTTCACTGTGTCATGGGATATACCAACGGTTCTTAATGATTAATAAGGTCAATGATATAATTGTTTCTTCATAGTATTCTACTGCTCGGGGTAGGTATAGAAAAAAATTAGACCTCCACGTAGATTCAAATAAATTGAATTTTTTATTAATAATTAAAGAAAAATGATTATTGATCATCAAGATTGTGTTGTGTATGACATTACTCGTAGTAATATATTTGTGAGTAAAATAATCATTTATGACTTTATTAACGTGAAGACTTAGATACTTTGTACAGCTAACCTTACGCCTTTTAAGGGATTTCGAAGAAGAGGCGAAGAACTTATTCATTAACCTGAATAGCTTGTTTGTTGAGGTAAAAAATTATTTTTTTATCGAGTTTGGATTTTTTTTATTAAATTTGATTTTTTTTATCTTCATCTTATTGTATTTTTTAGAATTCGTATTAAAGTGGATGTTATTAAATTTTTGTTAGAATTTAGTGATCTAGATTCCATTTGAATTCATGCAAGATTGTACTTCTACTCTTACAAGTTGACTACAAATAGTAAACCTAGTATGAGTAGATTTCTTATATGCAAGTTTTCTTTTTTAATTAAATAATTATGCTTATAAATAGATATTAAAGATTAGGATTAAAAGTCAAGTCGATTTAGTTGATCCACATGATAGATTGTAAAATATCTTGTATTTTCTTTTTTTATATTGGTAAAAAAATTTATGTATGTAATTTTTCTTGTTTAGGGTTTTCTCCGTAAAATTTCGGAGTCTAATTTTTCTTTCACTTTTAAATTTACTATGATTGTTACTCGCTATTATCGACGTATATTATAACATCTCTTTAAGTTGAACTCTCTTCCCCTTTCTAGAATACAACCAAAAAATCAGCCAAGAAATCGCCATCAATGTCACCATGTCGATCACCATCTTCTTCCATTTACGGTGGCTAGTAAACAGGGACAAAGCTACGTGGGAGGTGGGAGGGGCAATTGCCCCCCAACTTTGATGGTTTAATTCTATTATTTTTGAAATCATTACAATTAAGTCATTGTCCCTCTCAAATTCACTGGTTTAATCATAGCTTAGGACCATTTTTAGTTTTAAAATGAAATTCTGAGTTCTACTTTTTTTGGTTTAATTACGGTTTAAGATCATTCAATTTTAAAATTAGTGAAATTAAACCATAACTCCTTTAAATTCTATAGTTTATTCAATTTTAAATATCCTATTTATTTCAAAGTTGAACAACTTGCCCCTCTCATGGTTCAATCCTAAGCATCTATTATATTTGTTATAATAGATTAATCGAGTGACTTGATTGTAGCTTTTTGAAATGCGACGCTTCATTTGTGAACATACTAATAACGGAGTGACTTGTGGTGCAACCTACCCTTAATGTTTTATTTTAAATAAAATCATGAAACATGCTGATAATTAGAATTCGAGTAGACTAGAATGAAGGTGGTGTTCTCAAAACAGCTGGCCTACATACTTATATTATATATATCCTACAAATTGAAGTATTAAAATAATAAGCATACAAGGGGCAACGAGGATGGACAGTGACAAGCTAACATGACTGGAGGAGCCGAACCAGATAATATGTGAGGTCCCTACGCTTGAAATTAACTAAACTTGAAGAGAAAAATAGAGGCCAAACTGCCTAACACATCAACTAAGTGAAACCAAAGTCAGAATTTTTCCCAGGATAAGAAAATGGAAAAATATACCTCAAGGGTTTATTTAAGTTCCTCGAACCTTCTCCGGCTAGGTATATTGATGTTTAAACTAGAATCCTCAAAAAATAATAGCAAATTTTTGTAAGTATTGTTTAGTTCGTGCTCTTATTTTAGGTCTGATTGTTGGGTCAAATACCAAAGCCATCCACTTTACTTCTGTCATTGTACTAGGAGATATTAGCTTCAACCTCCCAGAAAAAAGAGAAAAAAAAAATCTTCCTGTTTCTCCACATGACTGTTGAGCCCTAGTGAAACCAAGAAAAGTAGAAGCATGGCATAGTTTTGTGGTGTTCTTGTTTTTGTCTGATTGTTTTGGTAATTTTTTTAATCTCAACTAGTTCAGTTAGGCCTTACTTTTCTTCCTTCCTTGTTAGGTTTGGTTGGTCGGTTTTTCTTCCTTTATCTTTATCGTCAAGATCTACCAGGAAAAGTTTCGATTGGTGCTGAAAAAACCATGGATTTTGGGTCATCAGGAAGAGAAGTGTTTAATGAAGAAGAATATATGGATAAAGGTAAGCTCCCTTTTTCCTACTCTACCTCCTCTTCTTCTCCTTCTTCTCAGCACCGCCACTGCCACCGCCACCGGATGAATTCCGACCGGTCAGTCAAAGGGTACGAGCAGCCTGAAGAAGATAATAACGAAGCAACCCCCATTTCTACTACTACTGCAAGCGAAGCTGATTCCAAACTCCTAGGCTCAGATTCAACAACCCTCGAGCTTAGGAATGGTGCAATTGCCGACATCGAGAAGGAACACATGTTTGACAAAGTGGTCACACCGAGCGATGTGGGAAAACTCAATCGACTTGTCATCCCTAAACAGCACGCCGAGAAGTATTTTCCCTTGGATCCTTGCGCGAACGAGAAGGGTCTTTTGTTGAACTTTGAGGACAGAAATGGGCGGCCATGGAGATTCAGATACTCGTATTGGAACAGTAGTCAAAGCTACGTGATGACCAAAGGGTGGAGCCGTTTTGTCAAGGATAAGAAGCTTGATGCTGGGGATATAGTTTCGTTCCATAGAGGAGCTTATGAGCTGAGTAAAGATCGTCTTTTTATTGATTGGAGGCGAAGACCCTATGCGCCTGATATGGTCTACCCTTTCTCTTTCGACAGCTCGATCCCCTGGCGTCCACTGCTAATGCGGCCACCACCGGTGAACCCTCGCAATGTGGTGAATCCAGTGGGTACAATGGGATCATTGTTTTACTTGAGACCCCCACAAATGGGGATGATGCAGCGGCGGCAGCCGCTTGCTTTCGATTCGGTGCCGGTGGTCCAAGGCAAGGTCGTCGCTGCGCCGAAGAGGTTGAGGCTTTTCGGGGTGAACATGGAATGTGCCATATCGGAATCGGACGAATGCTTATCGAAAACTACCATAGCACATGCTACAATGGCGTCACAACATCATCCTCAACTATCTTCATCATCTTCTTCACAGCATCCTCTCCAATTGAGGCTCTACAATGGCACCCCACTGCCACCCACGGACTTCCTTCGTAATGCCAACAAAGGGAAGGCTTCCTTGTCATTCGATTTGGATATTTCACCACATGAAAACTGATTTTGTAATTCAACATACTCAAAGCTTAAAGAATTGCAAGCCTACTCTAGCTGCCACTCCTCGTCTTCTTGTTTCTTCTTCTTCTTCTTCTTTCAATTTACCACTTCTTGATTCTTACGAGGGAGAAGACCCAGATGTTGAAATGTGATCATATCCTTATCTATACTGAAATAAAAAAGGAACTAGCAACATATTCTCAGATTTCAATGCTGCTGTTTTACAACTTATTACATGCTCTTGACAGTTCACACAGATAGATTTGATGTTTAACTTTTATAGGGTTTGTTTCTGAGTTAACTCCCAGGAATCTTTGTTCTCTTTGAGTTGGAGCAATCTGATGTAATAATCCAAGTGTTTTGGCGCTCTTTTGTTTTTACCTTGGTATACAGGTTAATCGTTGTTCTTGTCGCTGCTTCCTTAGGCTTTTTGCAGCAAAATTTGACAGCTCTTTTTCAAAAAGGTAGGATCTATCTGATCAATTTTCTTGGACCCTTTTTCCCTTCTTGTTTATATATTTATTCTTTCTCACCTGTTTATAAATTTGTTCTTCCATCGTTTAGAAATCATAAGGGGTTCAAACAAGGCAGCAACGCAACATTATGATCTTTATTGATCTCAGATATTCAAATCCCTGAGCTTGTTTACTTATCCCATGCCTTGCACCCATCGTTTGCTTTATCTGCATAGATTTCTGTTCATACAAATTTAGATTGCCTAAGCTGAAATAGAGAGCAGGTTGGCCCTTATTGATCTTTCACATGCATGCATTCACCTTTTGGCAAAGATTTTATACTCAGAGATTTAAATTATTGCTACATTACGTTTATCCTGATTGCGGATATAGCAGGCGTAACTATTACGGTGACTGCGAGTATCGCGGTCATGCAATAACGGTTTCGAACGACATTGCTATATAGCGTATACTATTACTATAGACTACTGTTATTTAAATCCCTAGTCATACCTATAGATATAATCTTTCAATATTTACCCAAATGAAAGCTCAATGGCCTCCAACTTTGACAATATTGTACCTTATTTCCCCTCTTATCACCCAATAATATTTCCAATCTCGTTTTTGAAGTTGTAAAGCATAGATATGTAGAGGTTTTGCAAGTTGCAGATCAGTGTTTATATATTGGATTAGATAATCCTTCAATGCAAGTTGCAGATTGGCAGTAATTATTGATTGGAACTGTTAATTCGCTGACCAAAGTCTTCCTAGCTTGTCTGCTATCGCTTGAAATACAAAACCCAAATTCCAAAAACAAGATCTGCAGATCAAACCCCGTGCAGCATGGGAACAAAGACACTTTGTTTTTCGTTTATAAGATTTTCCTGAACTTACTTTTGTTTTTTCCTCAATCAAAACCCTAGATGAAAGATGAACTAGGGATTTAAATTGCGGTTGTGGCCGCGATTTCGGTCACGTTGTGTTTATCGTGGTTGCGGATATAACGGATGCTACTGTGATCATTGGGTATATCGTGGTCGTGAATTTTTTCTAGATGAGTTGATTTTTTTAAATAAAAAAATTATTTTAAAAAAATTAAAAATAGTAGAAAAATAGCAGAATAGTGGTCACTGTGATTCCGCTTTACATCGCTATTTTCCGTGATAAAGTTCTCGAAATCTGCCGCAACCTCGATATAGCGACCGACTATCCGACCACTATTTGAATCCCTAGAACTCTTTTTTTTTTTGCCCTCCAATTCGTCCAGACTAATCTGAATCGACCCAAGTCGCACACATAGCTTTTGTGGATGAGTCTCCTGACAGTGATTTCTACATACACAATGATTCGAACGTAAAGCCTTGCTTAAGCGATATCAAACTGTTTAACACTTGAACCAACTCCTGGATAATCCCTATAACTATTTGCTCATCACAACTTTAATTCATTATATAGTACATGATCACCTTAACTATAACTTTGTTCCCACACATGCAACCATAAATCGATGGATTCAAATTCACATCCTCTAACATAAATTCTTACGTTTGTCATTGTATTAAATTTCATTTGTTACAAATTTTAACTAGATAATTAATTATTTAGGGTTTAAAATTATTTATTTATTTTATATTATATTAATATTTTAAATAGATTTAAATAACGACTTAATATTTAATGTGTTTTTCTTAATATTGTATTTATAATGTCTTTAATACTTATTTTTTAAATATATTATGTAAATAAGTTAAATAATTATTTTTAATCACTATAAAATAAAATTAATGTCTTATTATATATTATGATGAAATTAAATACAAGGTATTTACTTATTTAATTCTTTTAAACATTATTTAATATATAAATAATATTAATAATACGTTAAACATATCTTGTATAAAGTTTAGATAGTATAATTGAAATAATTTTATAAATTATATATATATTAAAACAAAAATATATCACAAGGTAATCAAAATTTATTTCTAAATTATATTATATTCCCTCAATCAAACATTATGATATTATATTATGTCAAATAAATCAAACAAAGTATAGTAATGTAACATTCTTAGTGATGTGTTATGTAATTTTACATTCTGAAAATTATATTCAAAAAAATAATACGATATCACATGAAACAAATACATCCTTAGTTAAAATGATAGAGCAACGTTTTATCGTTAATGTATATTGTAATGTCGACTGCATGAATGTAGTTTCTATACAGTGGCGGATCAAAGGTGTATTTAGGGTAGGCACGTGTCCAGCCTAGCGTTGTAAAAGAGCCGAGTTGAGTTCGAGTATTGTTAAGCTCAATTCGACTCAAATACTTAAAAATGGAGATTGACTTAGCTCGAAAACTCGCGAGACTAAAAATTTTAAGCTCAACCCGAACTTGAAACCATGAATTAAAGCTTGAAAAAGCTCGAAAAAACTCAAAGTAAAAAAAATTCTTAAACTTAATTGAAGCTCGAACTCGAACTTGAACTTTATATACATCAAAACCTTATACTGCATTTAAAAAAACACATAAATGTTAATATTATTAATAAATTATTTTTTAAAAAAAACAAAATCTTAATATATTATATTTTTCGAGTTGCTCGCGAGCTTTTTAAGTCGAGTATCAAGTAGCTAGTTTCAGCTCGTTAAGAACTCGAGCTTGAGTCAAGTCCGTTCGAGTCGGGTATTTATCGAGCTTTGACCGAGTTAATCTCGAGTATCACACGATCTGTCTCGTCTCATTTACAGCCCTATTCCAACCTGAAATTTAAGCTTTAATCTTTTAATTATCTATATTATTGATGATGTTCATCTTGAAATTTTATTTGTGTTCATCTCATACAAAAATTGTGTTATTAACATATATCTCTACTCTCAAAAACAAATTCTTAATCCGTCACTATTCACGTGCCTACATCATTTCTAAATGTTCAATCTTTAATGTTTGTTGTTGCTTGTTGTTTGTTTGCATACACATACAATGCAGGCAGAGAAGAGTAAGAAAGACAGTAATGACTAACGAGTCAGCAAGGACAAAGAAAATGTTCAAAATTTGATAGTGGAGCTAAATTATCTCCCAAGGAGCAAAATGGGAAGTGGTTAACTTTTGGGTGTTTTTTTTAACAATATTATTTATTATTTTCATTATCATAAAAAATGAAGTTGAAAGGGAGTGCAGAAGGTAGGGAAAATTAACCAAAGAAGCAGCATTAGGGGGATTATTTTACTGGAAAAAGCACATATAATTATTACATTGGTTAGTGACTGTCGTCCTTTACAAGGACAAGCCACTGACAATGTTCCAAAGGCAAAGGATAAGAGTCCCTTGGAGCTGAATACATATAGCATCTATGGTGGAAGCTAGGGTACGTAGCCATTTATAAGGAGAGAGACCCTTCAATGAATGGCGTGTAGGGGCCGCCCTTTTGGACTCGGTTGGCTCAGAACTACAGACAGCCGTAACGATCTCTCTTTTTCTCGGACAATAACCCCATTTCCTATTTTGTGCCCATCAACTTCATGTACTTAGAATCTTCTCTGATCCTTAACTGTTTTCTGCTGCCCACATGCTCTTGCTTGAAATGACATCATCTCCCCTCTAAACCCTACGTTTTTCTTTTAGGATAAACTACATCTTCGGTACATAAACTATTACTTTTGTTCTGTTTTAGTACCTAAAATCATATGTATCTAACATTTAGTTTATGTTTCATTTGTTACTACAGAATTAAAAACTTAACGGTGATGTTAACGTATTACCATAAGGTAGTACCACATCATCATTGGATTTTTTAAAAAAAATATCACGTCAATAATTCTGTTAATTTTTAATGGTGGGTACTAAAATGAAACCTAAACTACACGTTACGTATGATTTTGAAACAAAATAGAATTTGGTCACTAAAGCAGAATAAAAGTAATAGTTTAGATACTAAACATGTAGTTTATCCTTTTCTTTACGCACTCCTCAAGAGCCTTTTTTTTTTTCCTTGTTTCTGCAGGACTGCTGCATACGCGTGTAGGATCATCTTAAATTTGCATGGAGAACCGTTTCAAACCTGTTAAGCAAATTGTTATAATTATGTTTGCAAATTTGTTGCTGGGAAAATGCAAATTTATATCCTCAGGATCATCTTAAATTATGTTAAACAATTCAATTTTATGAACTCATATATAATATTATATATTAATTGTTATACCTCCTCGGGATCTCCTTCGAAAGTCAAATCTCTACTATCATTTCTCCGAACCTATGAAGCCCCATAAGGCCTCAAAAGGTCCTCAAAGCCTCTGGGGCTTTATATCCTCAGGACAGCTACAACACCTTGATGTGATCACCAACAGGCCTACGTAATATGTAATCCACTATCTGACAACTAGATCTATTTAGCCTAGTAACGTGTAAATTACATATCTACCTTAGGCCCCACACCAACACTTAAGTCTAGTACATAAGTCATCATGCATGACTTAAAAGGGGCCTTATCTCTCTCGAGCTCTTTCTATATTGATGATTGTTTATCATCATCCCAAACCCGTCTACTCTCTATATCCCCTTCAATGATTAACTAATGGTATCAATACCTATCCTAGGTATCAATACTCTTCTTGAGTATCAATACCAAAAACAATCTTGAACCATCCAAAAAACACCCTTAGTATTGATACCATACATGTAGTATTAGGGATGTAAAATCAGGTAATCGTTC